ACACACTTGCTGAACATCTGCGGTGCTAATAAAAGCCCTAACGGGATGATATGAAACTCATAAACTGTGCCCTGATAAGCAAACCAGAAAAATTTCCTGTGTGGTGGATAAATGGCAACGTGAAAATAAACATTCGCCAGATCGATTGTGACAAACCAATATGCTGGACAGATGGAGAGACAGAGTGTCTTGTGTGTTAACATTCTGAACGTATATCTGCATAAATGTCTTTTTAACACATGGAGATCCAATATGGGGTGGAGAGCTGCACCATCTTTATTTGGGATTTTAAAAAATAGCAAGAAAAGATGCCCTGGTTCAGAATTACTCTGAACAATTGTTGGCTTAAAAAAGAAGCAATCTCCTCCTCCAGAACGTGAGATGAATCTCTGCTGGCTACGGAGTACAACACCACTGAATCTAGGCGGCTTCAAGTTGAACTGAAGTCGGTAACCCTGAGAAAATGTGGTCATAACCCATGGCGGAACTGCGGATGCAAACCACTTTTCCGCTCGCTCCAAGAGCGGTCCTCCTGCGTTGCCACAGAGCGATGTCACTCTCGGGCTGAAACTGGACTCCGCTCTTTTATATGAAACAGCACAAGCACACTCTGTTAGGTACAAGCTCACACAAAGATTTATCTTGTTGTTGATCTTTTTGTGTGGGGTGCATTCTGCCCTTAGCAACATGCAGGAATGTAGTCTTTATTTTATCGTTTCATCCTTGAACAAAACAAGGCATTTTGGGGCACTGGTGAGTGTTTGGTGACACTGAGGGAGTACTGTTGAATGTGTGGTGGACCTTGATGACACTGTGTTCTCTGCCTCACAGTCTCCTCTCTCTGAACATGAGAGGGCTGAACAAACACTCCTGCTGAACTGGGAACTGCACGAGTGTGTGACCACTGGCAGAGATGCGATATTCCCTCTTCTGCCAATTTTCACCAGAGATGGAAAAGGTGAGGGCACTAGGTTGTCTGCTTTTTCTTACCCTTGCTGGGTTGGGATGGACTTTTTCTAGTGGTTGCTGCTGCTTGGCTTGCCCCAAGCTTTGCACTTTGGGCTTTTCCCCGTATTTTGCTTGTTTGGGTGACCAGCTGCTTGTCTGGGTGCATTAGTGCCAACCTGCCATCCCTTGCTGCTGCAGCAGATGCTACAAACCCGGGTCTGTGACCCTGCACTGGACAGGTATTCGATTTGTGTAGCAAGAAGAGGTTAAAGGCCTCTCCCTCCTGTTTTCTAATGGTGCTCCTCTCTCATCTTCTCCAAGGCCGGGCCAAAAAGAACTTTGGTCAGGGCTGCAGCCAAAAACTCTGTCTTCCCGGAGTCACCTAGGCCTGAAAGGTTCAGCCACAAGGCCCTTTTGCCTGCAACAAAAAGCCCCATGACGTGACCAATGCCTTAGACAGCTCCTCTGGATGAACATAGGATGAGATCTTTGACAACACAAATTTCATCCTACAATGCGGGGGTAGAGGAGGTATGCCACTAAGGGCTCCACCACTGGGGGTTAGCCCCAACTCATCCATCCCCTGTATTTTCAGATTGGAGCAGCCCTTCTGGGAAACCTGCTCCTAAAAGGGCTAGACCAGACTCATTTCCCCTCATACAAGCTGGGACAGATGGTAAAAGCTGTTTGGTTGGTGTGGAGGCTGGTGGGAGCCTCTTACCATCATACAGATCTTGTTCTGTCCCCTCTGCACCATGAGTTGCAGGCCAGGGGATACTCAGCTTTGAAGTGTCCCTTCTGCAGATAACCTAGCCAGCCTGAATGCGCTGAGGGAGCGAGTTGTAGTTTCTCACAGGAAGAAAGTGAGAATGGGTAGGAGGTGGCCGGTTAACTGTGGTATCATGATGGGGGCGGAGCCCAGAGAACAGCTCAACAGGTCTGTCTCAGACAGACGTGATGTCATTGGAGCTTCTGTAGATGGTCATATGCTGGAGCGTTTCCCGTAGTGAAACACAGAACGAAGTTAGAAAAAGAACTGATCTCAATAATGTGAATGACGTATAAACATCCATCCATCCATTATCTTTACCCGTTTGTTCCATTTTGGGTCATGGGGGTCGCTGGTGCCCATGTCCATCAATCACTGTGCGAGGGGCGGGGTACACCCTGGACGGGTCGCAAGTCCATCACAGGGCCACATAGAGACAAACGAGACAAACAACCATTTACTCTCTCACTCACACCTAGGGACAATTTAGAGTTACCAATCAGCCTAACATGCATGTTTTTGGTCTGTGGGAGGAAACCGGAGTACCCGGAGAAAACCCACGCATGCACGGAGAGAACAAGCAAACTCCACCCAGAAAGGCCCCTGGACCGGGGTTTGAACCAGGGACCTGCTCGCTGAGAGGCAGCAGCTCTACCAGTTGTGCCACCGTGCTGCCCTGACGTATAAACATTCACATTATATTTAGAACACCTCCTAGGACTTTATTGATCACCCTTAGTTTTTGCTGCCGCTCCTTTTCTTATGAATCAAACTAATGACTCTGAACAGCCATTCAGGTTTTTTTTCTCGCACTGACTGATCCGTTGCAGCTACAGAAATAGATGTTAATGGAGGCGAGGGAGGTGATGGTGCTTCTACGGAGGAGATGTTCTGATTTTATCACTTCAGATTTGAGTTACCTGGTTTGGAGACAATCTTCTGTAGCTGCTGGTCCAAATACTCCTGCCTTTGAGTGAGTGTGACCAACCACTGCTCCCTCAGCCTCTCCAGGTCCACCTCCTACACACAAGAACACAAAAGAACAGACAGAACATGCACTGATGGACACAAATCGTATTTTCCCGTCAGACTGTTTACTTGTAAACTACTTGCCTGATAACTGTCCATTTCTTCATCTCCACCCTAAAGTTTGGGAGTGGAGAAAAACTGGTAAAGACTCAAACACCGAATTATTATAAAGGGATATTCTGAACATTCTGAAGTGGGGTTAAGATTTCTTGCCTGTCCTCTCAGATTTATTTGATTTATATTTAACCAGGTTAGTCAGTAGAACAAGTTCTCATTTTCAGTGACGACCTGGCCATGAGGCAGCAAATACAGGAGTGGGAGAACATCAGACATAAAATAAATAAACAACTGTCAACCAAACATGGAGTCGTACAGACCATGTGAAATGATAAATGGACTGTATTTATATAGCGCCTTTCTATCTAATCAAGATACTCAAAGTGCTTTACACTACAGGTCCTTCTCAAAAAATTAGCATATTGTGTTAGGTCATTATTTTCCATAATGTAATGATAAAAATGAAACTTTCATATATTTCAGATTCATTGCACACCAACTGAAATATTTCAGGTCTTTAATTGTTTTAATACTGATGATTATGGCATACAGCTCATGAAAACCCAAAATGCCTGTCTCAAAAAATTAGCATATTTCATCCCACCAATGAAAGACAAGTGTTTTTAATACAAAAAACGCCAACCTTCAAATAATCATGTTCAGTTATGCACTCAATACTTGGTCGGGAATCCTTTTGCATGAATGACTGCTTCAATGCGGTGTGGCATGGAGGCAATCAGCCTGTGGCACTGCTGAGGTGTTATGGAGGCCCAGGATGCTTCGATAGCGGCCTTAAGCTCATCCAGAGTGTTGGGTCTTGCGTCTCTCAACTTTCTCTTCACAATATCCCACAGGTTCTCTATGGGGTTCAGGTCAGGAGAGTTGGCAGGCCAATTGAGCACAGTAATACCATGGTCAGTAAACCATTTACCAGTGGTTTTGGCACTGTGAGCAGGTGCCAGGTCGTGCTGAAAAATTAAATCTTCATCTCCATAAAGCTTTTCAGCAGATGGAAGCATGAAGTGCTCCAAAATCTCCTGATAGCTAGCTGCATTGACCCTGCCCTTGATAAAACACAGTGGACCAACACCAGCAGATGACATGACACCCCAGTGACTGTGGAAACTTGACACTGGACCTCAAGCAATGTGAATTCTGTGTCTCCTCTCTTCCTCCAGACTCTGGGACCTTGATTTCCAAAGGAAATGCAAAATCTACTGTAATCAGAGAACATAACTTTGGACCACTCAGCAGCAGTCCCAGGCGAGATGCTTCTGACGCAGTCTCTTGTTCAAAAGTGGCTTGACCTGGGGAATGCGGCACCTGTAGCCCATTTCCTGCACACGCCTGTGCACGGTGGCTCTGGATGTTTCTACTCCAGACTCAGTCCACTGCTTCTGCAGGTCCCCCAAGGTCTGGAATCGGCCCTTCTCCACAGTCCTCCTCAGGGTCCGGTCACCTCTTCTCGTTGTGCAGCGTTTTCTGCCACACTTTTCCCTTCCCACAGACTTCCCACTGAGGTGCCTTGATACAGCACTCTGGGAACAGCCTATTCGTTCAGCAATTTCTTTCTGTGTCTTACCCTCTTGCTTGAGGGTGTCAATTATGGCCTTCTGGACAGCAGTCAGGTCAGCAGTCTTACCCATGATTGCGGTTTTGAGTAATGAACAAGGCTGGGAGTTTTTAAAAGCCTCAGGAATCTTTTGCAGGTGTTTAGAGTTAGGTCGTTGATTCAGATGGTTAGGTTAATAGCTTGTTTTGACAACCTTTTCATGATATGCTAATTTTTTGGGACAGGCATTTTGGGTTTTCATGAGCTGTATGCCATAATTATCAGTATTAAAACAATTAAAGACCTGAAATATTTCAGTTGGTGTGCAATGAATCTGAAATATATGAAAGTTTCATTTTTATTATTACATTATGGAAAATAATTACCTTTATCACAATATGCTAATTTTTTAAGAAGGACCTGTATATATAAATACTTGAAACAACCTTGTTAGGCTCTTTAAATTCCTGTGTTTTAAATATTAGGTTTTGATAAATTTTTTACTAAATTTATTATTATTTATTTATTTATTTATTTATTTATTTTTTTTCCTAGTTGCAGATAATAACAAGCAGTCAGTCATGTTAGAATGTGGGATTTAAATGACCTAAAGTTCGAATATTATTATTTGCGTGTCTCTGCCAGGTGAAAATCCTCCAGGCTACCGGTCTTCCTCGCCACCTCTCCAACTTTGTGTTCTGTCAGTACCTGTTCTGGGGGCAGGAGGAGCCCGTGTTCACCGCCCCAGAGGTGGCCACATCCAGCTCCTCATCTGCTTCCAGAGACCCCCAGTGCACTGTGGTCTTTGACAATACCAAGGTGGAGACCGACTACAGTCCATATGGATGAGACCAGCAGACGAGGGTTTGGACTGAACTGTTCGTCCTGGTTTTCTGTCCTCAGGAGCTGTCTGTTCCAATATCAGAGGACCTGCTGGAGTTTCTGGCCGACGCTGCAATGGCTGTTGAAGTTTACGGCCACAAGCAGGAAAACCATCGCAGGAACCTGGCACTGTGGGACCTGGGGGTGATTCAAGCCAAGACCAGATCCCTCAGAGAGAGGTCCGCTCACAAACACTCCCAACAAAAACTGATTCAAAGCTGAGCTCTGAGAGTCAGAGAGATTTATTTGTCATTCGCATCTCATGAAGTACATGTGGTGGAACGAGATTATGTCCACAGGGTCCCAGTTACATCCAACAATAAAATACAATAGAAAAACAGTAATAAGATCTAAGATATGAACTAAGAAAAACATCAGCTAAATAATACACTAAGTACTAATAGCATAAAAACATTATGTCGAACAGCAGCACGAATACGAGTCTGTGTGAGCCGATGAGCATGCATGAACACAGCAACATGAAACAGATCAGCAGCAACATGATGTGATTTTTCACAGTGATTATCCTGGTTAGAGATTCATGAGTCTAACAGCCTCAGGGTAGAAGCTGTTCCTCAGTCTAGTGGTTCTACACTTAATGCTCCTTAACCTCCTTCCTGAGGGGAGCGGGGCAAAAAGTGTGTGTGCTGGGTGAGTGGGGTCTTTCATGACTCCAGGTGGCTCTCTTCCTGCATCTGGAGGTGCAGATGTCTGTGATGGTGGGGAGACTGACTCCAACAGACTTCTGTGCAGCCTTCACCACTCTCTGAAAAGCTTTTCTTTCTGCAGCTGTGCAGCCTCCATGCCACACGTTGATGCTGGAGCACAGGATGCTCTCCACTGCACACCTGTAGAAGGAGGTGAGGACTGAGCTTCCCAGACGAGCTCGTCTCAGCCGCCTGAGGAAGTAGAGTCTCTGATGAGCTTTCTTAATCAGGCTGGTGGTGTTGTTGCTCCAGCTGAGGTTGCTCAGACAGGACGCAAGTGAAATCTTTATTTATTTACAAATATCAGAGGATGGAGTGGCAAAGTAATTTTCAACATTTAGTAGATGATGAAGGAATGATGTTATTAAAAACAGAGTGCGTTTGATGATGTTTGTGCTGGTACTTACAGTGAACTAAAACGTTCTGTTCTATGTTGAAAGACAAAAACAGAAAAATTAGTGATTAATCAGCCACATGTATTTATACCAAGCTGTCATGGTGCTGAAGGTTTGTGGGGCCAGACCAGTGGTGAACCATGACTGTAAGAGCTAGGCCTTCAAAGTGACACCACTGATCCACCGTCTGACTACATCACTTTTAGTACCACGCTACCAGGAAACGCTTCTTGTTTTTATGCATCAAGTACAACGTCTGACTCATGTTGTCATTTTTACACAGTCGCTAACAACAACCTGAACATGCCAACACTAAACAGAACCAACAGGGACGACACATCTGAACACACAACCTGAAAAGCTCCACCCCCAAGTCTGCCCCAAGACTTCCCAAAAGGCCCAGCGGCTCACTCCACTTCTTGTGTTCAAGTACAACATGTCATTTCAACAATTCACTCTGAAATTGAAGAGTAACTCACAGAACTTAGTTTCTGTAAAATGTCATCATGTTATGAAAACAAAACGCAACTCTTATATTGGTAATTATCCATATAAACCATCATCCATCCATCATTCATTCATCCATCCATCCATCCATCATCCATCCAACCATCATCCATCCATCC